AAAGCTATACGATCACTCGGGCTGGAGGGGCTGGAGGGGCTGGAGGGGCTGGGGGGGCGGTCCGTGCATGCTTATGTGTGTGAGTGAAATGTTGGCACACTTGGAACAATTGGCAGCTCCTGAACAGATGGCCAGGAGGAGAATGGAAACACGACCAGGGTGTAGTTATGCAAAGATAAGCAGAGGCGATGCTAGAGCCAAACAGAAATATCACAACTCGCTCATGAAGCTGAAGCGGATATTCAGACTGAAAGACCGAGTGCAAATTCCCCCTTCCAAGCCAGCCAATCACACAGCTCTGCCAGCCTCGAGCCTCAGCCAATCACACAGCTCTGCCAGCCTCGAGCCTCAGCCAATCACACAGCTCTGCCAGCCTCGAGCCTCAGCCAATCACACAGCCAGGCCAGCCTCGAGCCTCAGCCAATCACACAGCTCTGCCAGCCTCGAGCCTCAGCCAATCACACAGCCAGGCCAGCCTCCTGCCAACCCTCTCACAGCAAAGCGGGCAGTTTAAAAGGCAGCCACTTCCTGACAAGCAACGCTTCCTGAGGCTCTTAAACACCCACCACCTCCCCAGCACCCCCTCTGGCTCCTGCTCTGGCTCCCGCTCTGGCTCCCGCTCTGGCTCCCGCTCTGGCTCCCGCTCTGGCTCCCGCTCCGCACCATACTCTAGCCACCACCAGTGCTCGACCCCGGGGGATCTGAGATAATCTTCAGCTGCAATCGATCTCATCGCTGCAAGTGTCACTGCCGGGGTCAATGCGCCAAACAAATAAATAATTTTATTGTGTTAATTGTGTCTTTGGCCTCTTCAGATTGAATGTGCTCTAGGTTTGGTGCATTCAAGGTGCTCCTCGTAACTTTTCTTGTGAGGAATATTCGGCCTGTTTGAGTGAATACGTTTTTACAGTCGTCTGTCTGCCCGACAAGCAGAACTGTGTGAGAATGAAAAAAGGCTGTATTTATTCAGATTATGAAATTATATTTAAGACTCTATTTTATTTCTGGGTTAGATATTTCAATTTAAACTTTCTTCAATGTACTACGGTTCACGGTATTTTATATTATTGGAATTCACTTTGGAGAGACCCAAGAGGGAAAATGCAGTTAGAAGTTTGTTGATTGAGCATGTTTGGCGCCCCAGGCCCGGGAGAGATTCTGTTGAGTGCGGCGCTTGCTCGCACGCATAATCCCCCCCGGGGCCTAGGCACTGGTGGCGGCAGAGGCAGTAGGCAAGCACGCTTCGATGAGAAACGGAGGAGGTGGGGCGGCGGAGGCTTTGCAAACTTCAGAAGGCTGGGAAGTGGGTGTCTCCGGCTTTTAACTTGCTGTCCTGGTGGTTATTGGTTGATTAGATGTGGACGTTGCTGGTGTAATGAGTAGAGGATGAGCAGCTTGTAGATCTGGCAGCAGCAGCCGGGTCTACCACAGTGAACTTTCGCGAAGAGCTTCATTTCACTTTGGAGAGACCCAAGAGGGAAAATGCAGTTAGAAGTTTGTTGATTGAGTATGTTTGGCGCCCTAGGCCCGGGAGAGATTCTGTTGAGCGCGGCGCTTGCTCGCACGCATAATCCCCAAAAACGGGCAGAGTTATCTTTGCGCGCCGGGACGTGAGCGCTCGCATCACAATCAACCGGACGCTGCCTGGGACGTGAGCGCTCCCATCACGATCGATACCAGACGTTGCGGCAGAGTTGCCTTTAAGCACCGGGACGAGAGCGCTCGCATCACGATCAACCGGACGCTGCCTGGGACGTGAGCGCTCGCATCACGATCGATACCAGACGTTGCAGCAGAGTTATCTTTAAGCGCCGGGACGAGAGCGCTCGCTTCACAATCAACCGGACGCTGCCTGGGACGTGAGCGCTTGCATCACGATCGATACCAGACGTTGAAGCAGAGTTGCCTTTAAGCGCCGGGACGTGAGCTCGCATCACGATCAACCGGACGCTGACTGGGACGTGAGCGCTCGCATCACGATCAACCGGACGCTGACTGGGACGTGAGCGCTCGCATCACGATCAATACCAGACGTTGCGGCAGGTTTGCCTTTAAGCGCCGGGACGTGAGCGCTCGCACCACGATCAACCGGACGCTGCCTGGGAAGTGAGCGCTTGCATCACGATCGATACCAGACGTTGAAGCAGAGTTGCCTTTAAGCGCCGGGACGTGAGCTCGCATCACGATCAACCGGATGCTGACTGGGACGTGAGCGCTTGCATCACGATCGATACCAGACGTTGAAGCAGAGTTATCTTTAAGCGCCGGGACGTGAGCGCTCGCATCACGATCAACCGGACGCTGCCTGGGACGTGAGCGCTCGCATCACGATCGATACCAGACGCTGCAGCAGAGTTTCTTTAAAGTGCGTGCCGCCACCAGAATCTTATAGGTTCACTTACTTTGCTTTGTATTGCTTTGCTGGGAGCTTACGAGGAAGCCAGTAGCCGTTGTGCAGCCAGGATGGCGGACGCGTCTGGCCTGATGTAGGCGGAAAAGGCCGAAGAGGACCAGCGCCCCAGCTGTTGCAGAGAGGTGTGGGGGAGCCCCAGCGAGGCCGCGCGCGTGGCAGCGCCTATCCTGAATGAGTGAGCTGTGTAGAGCTGGGGAGATAATTTACAGAGGAGCAGTAGGGATCTTAGCTGAGCTCTGAACCAGGTTGCTGTCATGGGAAGAATGTCTGGAGTGAGAAAGAGAGGTCCGTTAAAATCTCCTTTTTGCAGCGGAGGCGAGTGTAACGCATCATGGACCTGTAGGGGCAGAGAGATGTGTCCGAGCGAGCTGTTACTATGTTGCAGGCTCCTTTGATTTTTTGAATGTTTGAGATGAAGGTTGAAATGGTCAGGGGACATTAAGTTGGGTGAAAAAGAGCGACCTTTGTGTAATGCTTCCACTACATCGAGATTATCACACATGACAGAGATCCTCTTTCTCTGCCACGTTTGATTCCACAGCGCGCAGGCCACGACCACTGGGAATATCTCGTGTAGGGCAGAAGAGATGCTCCGGTGGAAAGTAGCGGCCACGCTCGGCAAACCAATGGTCCTGGAAGAATCCCCCAAAACCCACGGAAGGGGCAGCGTCCGTGTAGAAGCGGAGACCTGTAGGGGCAGAGACACATCGGAGAGGGCCATTGATGTTTGCAGGCGCCCTTACGCTTAGAATCTTGGGTTGGAGAGTAGATAATCAGGATAGTAGGATGGTCGGGAAAGCCGTGTCTCGGACCGCATGAAGGTTGAGTGAGCAGTAGTGAAACGCTTATGCAGAGAAGCCATAGAAGGAGAGCAGGAAGATGCTGCGAGGAGGGCAGACATGTACTTGGAAGACGAGCCAGAGTTCAGTGCCGCTCAGCGCCGCTGCAGGATGGGCAGCACGATGGGGAGCCTGCGATCAGAAGAGTGAAGAATACAGGTATGAATGCGTTTGATTAGGAGTCCGATTGACGGCTCAGCGCAGCTACTTGGCCAGCTGCATCTGATAGATCAGAAGATTAAGTAGAGAGATGAAGCATGACCGCCGAAGCGACCCTGGGAGCATAGGTGCGAGTCCAGCGCGGCGCGGCATACTCAGCCGGGCTGCATCCATTAGAAGCAGGATAAGCTTCTGAGAGAGTGGGTTGCAGCAGTAGCAGTAGCAGCAGCAGCAGTAACCTCAGATAATAACAGCAATAGTCCTGTATCAAGCCGCGGCAGCAGCAGTAGCAGCAGCAGCAGCGGCAGCAGCATCCTTAGAAAATAACAGTAATAATCCTGTATCAAGCCACAGCAGTAGAATGTTGTTGTAGCTGTTCAGTGTTTCAGTACTGTTTAGTGTTTCAGTAAAAGAGATTCGAAGTGAAGAGAGATGTCAAGTACATGAAGCAGCAGCAGCACGGCAGCAGCAGCAGTATGAAGCAGCAGCGGCGGCAGCAGCAGCAGTAGCGGCAGCAGTATGAAGCAGCAGAAGCAGCATTAGCAGGAGCAGCAGCACCACAATGCGATTCATACGAACAAACAGACGTGTCACGCCAGCGTGCGCCGCTTGTCTCCGTGAGCCAGGTTACATACGTGTCTGAAAGAGCCGAGCCGTAGAGACAGGTGCAGCCTGGGAGCCTGCGGAGCGGCAGCGGCAGGAACAGCAGCAGCGGCACATGTAGTAGTAGGAGCAGCAGGAGCAGGCAGCAGGGACAGGCAGCAGCAGGAGCGGCAGCAGGAACAGGCAGCAGCAGGAGCGGCAGCAGGAACAGGCAGCAGCAGGAGCGGCAGCAGGAACAGGCATCAGTAGGAGCGGCAGCAGGAACAGGCAGCAGCGGGATCCGGCATCAGTAGGAACGGCAGCAGGGACCGCAGCAGCGGCGGTCAGAGAACCATGCCCATGGTTGTTTAACAGCCTGAGGAAATAAATCAACCCGAATCCGAAACATTCCCATGCGAATAACAGATGTCCCCTGGAGCCATCTTCTGCTTTGGTTATGGCAGATACGCATGAACGATCACTTTTCCATGCGTTCATTAGCTCCAACACCACTTCACACCCATTGCAGATTCACATTGGGCCCTTTTTCCTTCTGCTGCACTTTCAAAATGCAACAACTGCAGTTTAGTTACCTGATTTAATACTAGTGACCTAGCTATTTAAATGCATGGCCCCTCCTTCCTCCTGCAGATAGACGAATCAATACAATCATTTAACAATAGTGACCTGCGAGTAATGAGATTAATGCTGTAAAGATGGCGCCGTGGCAAGAGCTCTGGTGTCCGGAGCACAAGGGGGTAGTCTTGCAAATTTTTTCCAACGTGGTTTTACTGAAAGTGGCAGAACATGAATCTGAATTAATGCACATTGCTCCTCTTATATCCCTCAGACGATAGAGATTGATGCCATTTAACATGCGTTGCCCCTCAGTTAGCTCAAACACATGTGAAAACGAAGCCTGCAGTCCAGTGCGCAGGGCAAAACCAAGCCTGCAGCCTAGACTCCGGGATTAATCCGTCCGCGGTCAGCACACTCACAGTACTCACATGCCAGGAGACTTGGGAAAAGCAACGGGACAACACGGCACCGCCAGACCGTCTGCGCGCGGCAGCAGACCACGAGGAACGAGCAGCACAGAACCCCCGGAGGGGCCCCGCGGAGCAGCCCGCAGAAGAGCCCGCAGAGTAGGAGAGCAGTGGGGATATGCGAACCACAGCAGGTGCAGGGACGCGGAGGAGGAGCAGACCACGAGCAGCCAGACTGAGGACAGCAGGGCCACGCGCACGAGCAACACGTGAGCAGAAGCGACCCCTCCAGAACAACGCATGCATTTGCGAACAGGTGCGTTAGCGACATGCACCTTGCAGACTTCAGAAGCTTGCAGATTTCAGAAGGCCGGGAAGTGGGAGTCTCCGGCTTTTAACTTGCTGTCCTGGTGGTTATTGGTTGATTAGATGTGGGCGTTGCTGGTATGATGAGTCGAGGATGAGCAGGCTTGTAGATCTGGGCAAGCAGCAGCCGGGTCTACCACAGTGAATTTTCGCGAAGAGCTTCATTACTATTAGATTAGAGTTGTCGTAAAAGCATTTCACCATCATCATTACATTCTGTGCACATAAACCTGGGAAGCTTTGCTGTTTTCATACATACTGTACGTACAGATGTTTCTAGTTTGATATAGTTATCAAACCCCAGCTTTAATATTGCACTGTAAATTAAAATGATCATATGGTAATAATTCAATTGTTATTACAACAACTTTGATTCATAACTGAAATTGATGAAGGAATAAATGGGTATTTGCATATTTTTAGTGCACATTGGGGCGTCTTTCCTCAAGAGCATGAGTTTGGATCATTCCATGTTTGATAGTTTGTCACTTCACACTTCATACACCACAAAGACTAGAGAAGCAAAATGTACAAGCAAAAAGTTACCCAGCAGCCAATCAGCTCTCAGCCCTAAGAAGCATTTATACAGTATTCTTTACAAGTATGCAATAGTTCTGCCTTTAAAAGACCAGAACCAGATTGGATGGGTTTTGGACTGATGAGAAATGAGAAATGATTATTATTATTTTATCCATGACTTCTGCTGTTTATTTGAAACACTCTTAGATAAGTTTTAAAGAGGATGGTTGCATGTTTGGAAAAGTTTGTTTTCGAGCGGTACATTTCCTGGGATTGGGCGCACAGGGACTGCGGCAGTGTGGACCAAAATACTGATGTGATTATTTCCATTTCAAGCTTACAGTGGTATTTGAAAGCCGAAATATAGCATATTGGTCTGACTTGAGGATTCAGTTCTGGCTTTGGTTTGTTTAGTCTCAGTTCACTCCACATTTTGATGAGCTGAGAGTGAAGTGTGGGATATGAACAGTGTTTAAATATTTCAATCTGTTGTGGCTGTGCAAAGTCTACTGTTCCAGATGTCAGCTGTCACTGAGGAGAGCGTCTGAAGGGCTCACAAATACACATACTCCATAAAGTTTACAAGCGACAGCCCGTTTCAAACAGCATTAAACAGCTTGGTATCTCTGTCCATGATAATAATAGTTATTTTTATTTTTTTTTACTTTTCCTTTAAACTTATAACACCCATTGCTTGGTCCATTTTGACCAGCAGATTAATTTGTTTAAAGGATATCAGAATGTTGTGAGGATTGGAGTTGAGGCCTTAATGGTGTCATACAAAATGGAAATTTTGTGAACATGTGAACCATCAACTTAAGAGGAGGCTGAAGCTTGGTCACAAATGAGGGTTTCAAAGAGACAATGACCCTGAGCACACTTCCAACTACACTACCAAAATGGTTCAAAGACACAAGTGTCACGGTCAACTCGCCATCACAGACTTGACATTAGTCCCACTGAAAATGTGTGAGTGGAGCTGAACAGTTACGGGATAGAAGGATCACAAAGGTCCATCATAAGCTTGTGGAAGTTAAACAGTTTAATGGCAATTATTCCAAATATTTACTTTTGTGAAGCATATATCTACTGTATATGCATGTTTTTGAGTATAGTACGTATTGTCAGTATGTGTGTGTGTGTGTATTTGTAATTATTATTTCTATTTGTTACAGTTAAATTATTAAATTATCAGAAACGTCTTGAAAAAATTACAAGAAAATCAAAAAAGATTTGTTTAACCAAAATTCCTTAAAGCTACTGAGATATACATTTTTACTTATCTTGACTTAACTTTGTCAATGCCAATTAGTTCAAAGCAATCATCCAACTTTTCTATCATGTTTTAACCCACACCACTTAACTGTAAGGGTTAAATCCATATTCCTTGCTAAATTTATTGATTGGTTTATAATGTGTTTCTTATTATCTTCACGTTTACATGAATGAACAAAATCAATACATGTTTGAAGTATAAAAATCGTTTCATCTAATATTTATTTAGCAAATGCAAAGTCCTTAAGCCAGTCAGTTGCTTCCTGGTCTGCGGTGTGGAGGATGATTTTCCTCCTCTCAGTCGTTGGAGAGGGAAGACTTCAATGATGTGTTCCATTGTCTGCTCCTCTCCACAAGTGCACAGTGGACAAGGGCTGCTGCCTCATCTGTGAATGCTGACCAAGCATTAACCATGTCCAGTCCTGAATCTGTTGATGGTTGACCGTTGTCTCTTTATGAGGTCGGTGCCAGGGACCTGTTGGGTAGGGTCTGGCACCAGGTGTTTGTTGGGGACCTCCTTGGATGCCCACTCACTTTTGCAGGCTGATTGGATGGTGAAGTCAGCTGGTGGGGGGTTCTTCCAGATGGAACGTCCGGACGGAAGTCGAGCAGTGGGTGAGTTGAAGATTTCTTTGTGGATTGGTAGGAGGGGGAAGTCTTCAACCTTTTGAAGCATCCTTTGAGTCAATGCTGCTCGCCGGATTTGTGTAGGTGCAATGTTTGATGGAACAGGGAGCAAGGAGAGAGGTGTTGGGCGAATTTTCCCAGTTTTAATTCTAATGGTTGTGTTGAGCTGATTGTTCATGTAGTGTGTGTGGGAAGACCTGGACCAAACATAGGCATAATATTCTGCTGTGGACTGTGCAGGGGCCAATGCTGAGATGCGTAGAGTGGAGGTTAATGCGCCCCTGAGCAGGTTGTTCCTGGACTTCACCTTAACCGCCGTCTCTTTCTGTATACAAGTTCCTTTAGGATAAGGTCCTGTCAAGGGTCACTCCAAGGTAGGTTGGATTAGTGGCATGCTTACCGCTGTTGTGGCATGTGGGTGGGATGAAGCAGAGTACAGGGAGGTGGTGGCTGCCTTCTCAGACTGGAGTGAGAGAAATGGTCTGATTCTCAATGCTTCCAAACCAAGGAGATGATTATTGACTTTCACTGGAGCCCTTCCCATCAACAGATCACAGTAAATGGACAGGACATCGAAGTGGTTCAGTCCTACAAATACCTTGCAGTCCACCTGGAACACAGACTGGACTGGTCAGCTCAGGCCAATGCTGTCTATAAGAAAGGTCAGAGCAGACTGAAGCCCTTCGATGTGAGCAGACGGATGTTTGTGGTCTGACCTCCAGGAACAGTAACCGGCTCGACAGGCTGATCAGGAAATGTGTCTCTGTGATGGGGAGAAGTGTGGACTCTGTGGGAGCTGTGCTGGAGAGAAGGATGAGGGCTCTACTGCAGGGCATCCTGGGTAACTCCAGACACTCTCTGCAGGACACTATGGCCGCTCAGAGGAGTCATCGAAGCAACAGGCTCCTATCACTACGCTGCCGAACGGAACGCTTCAAGAGATACTTTGTTCCTTCGGCTGTCAGACTGTACAACAAACCCGGATGAGTAGTAAGTGGTAAGTAATGTTTATTTGTATAGCGCATTTTACAGACCAAGGTCACCCAAAGCGCTTTACAATGTTCAGAGTTCAGAGTTAATGAGGGTTCTGCTACTGCACACCTGAATTTCTCCAATGGGGGATCAATAAAGTATCTATCTATCTTAAGTGGGCCCGCTCAGGTGAATAAAGACTCTGCAGGACTTTTTCAGTTCTGCAGCCTCAAATAGCTCTGGATTATTTCCCTAAGTACCATTTAATAATAAAATAAACTTATTGCGCACCTCCGTGAACACATACTGCTGTTATATAAAGTCTGTGGAAGGTCTCTGAACACAGACACGCTGCAAAGCTGCAGTATTGGAGAAGATCTGTACACAAGAACCCGCTAGCTAAACTCTGTTAGCATCATAACCTGCCGGCTACTTACGCCACTTCCAGCGCGCGCCAGGACTTCTGGTCTGAAGACCCGTGCGTCTGAAAACTAGAGAATGTGCGTTTCAGCGTTGCCGGTCTGAAAGCACTTAGGTTGCTTTTGCAATAGACAGTAGGTGGGATGCGACTTGGTTGGATGTGACCATAGACTGTATATATTAACGGACAGAGTCACGCCTATCTCCGCCGTTCAAACAAATGGTCCAAAAATTGTGCTCTACTGGAGCTATCCAAAATGGCTGCAAGTGGCCCCGCCCACAAGAAAATTGTGAAAAAACGCATCTGCGCATTCGTCAGCCGGCGCGAGCCCCTCTCATTTAACGAGGGCCTTCAAAAATTCACAACGACTAAACTAGACTGGTCCAGAACACTCCCCTCAGCACATTTGGAACGGAGCTTTGGGCCAAGAGCCAACTTTTGGACCATCCTGTAAAGATGTTTGAGAGGTAAGAAGATGCTATATGTTAGCATTGGCGAATTCTACTTCCGGGTCCACCCCCATCGGCCTGGGGTGGTATTGCAGCATGTCAGAGCACGTCATTTTGGCCACTTTTGAGCCGGGACCCGCCCACACTGGGTGTGACAGAAGATCGGCTTTGTATAGGAGGTATCTTAGGATCTCCCAGGCTATGGAGAAGGGTCCAACATTCCACATTACACACCAGCACCTACGCACGCACACGCGGACACACACGCACACGCACATATAATAATGTAAACAATGCGATCATCCTAACTGTGTGTGTCAAGTCTTAACGTGGTGACCTTGGAGTTGAAAAGTGCCACGTCTGCTCCATACCGGTGACAGATGCAGCGAAGCCTTAAGTCTCCAGCCCCAAATGCAAATAAGAGACATATGCTAATGAGGCTCAGCTCTGCTCCATATGAGAGAGTTCAGACGTCGTTATAGAGAGGCGTGTAGAGGAAATGGGAGACAAGTGCAGTGTGCCTCTTGTTCGTGAAGTCAATAAAGAGGACAAAAACCATCAATAATTTATTACAACCTGGAAACTAAGCAGTGTAATCCCTTCTTTGTTCACTAATCCTTATTTGTAATCACATACTTTA